CTGGTTTCATCCTCTAGTTACTGGTTTTATTCTCTAGTTACTGGTTTTATTCTCTAGTTACTGGTTTTATCCTCTAGTTACTGGTTTTATTCTCTAGTTACTGGTTTCATCGTCTAGTTACTGGTTTTATTCTCTAGTTACTGGTTTTATCCTCTAGTTACTGGTTTTATTCTCTAGTTACTGGTTTTATTCTCTAGTTACTGGTTTCATCCTCTAGTTACTGGTTTTATCCTCTAGTTACTGGTTTTATTCTCTAGTTACTGGTTTCATCCTCTAGTTACTGGTTCATCGTCTAGATACTGGTTTCATCATCTAGTTACTGGTTTCATCCTCTAGTTACTGGTTTTATTCTCTAGTTACTGGTTTTATCCTCTAGTTACTGGTTTCATCGTCTAGTTACTGGTTTTATTCTCTAGTTACTGGTTTTATTCTCTAGTTACTGGTTTATCCTCTAGTTACTGGTTTTATTCTCTAGTTACTGGTTTTATCCTCTAGTTACTGGTTTCATCGTCTAGTTTACTGGTTTTATTCTCTAGTTACTGGTTTCATCGTCTAGTTACTGGTTTCATCCTCTAGTTACTGGTTTTATTCTCTAGTTTACTGGTTTCATCGTCTAGTTACTGGTTTCATCCTCTAGTTACTGGTTTCATCGTCTAGTTACTGGTTTTATTCTCTAGTTACTGGTTTCATCGTCTAGTTACTGGTTTTATTCTCTAGTTACTGGTTTTATCCTCTAGTTACTGGTTTCATCGTCTAGTTACTGGTTTCATCCTCTAGTTACTGGTTTCATCGTCTAGTTACTGGTTTTATTCTCTAGTTACTGGTTTCATCGTCTAGTTACTGGTTTTATTCTCTAGTTACTTTTTATCCTCTAGTTACTGGTTTCATCGTCTAGTTACTGGTTTCCTTTAGTTACTGGTTTTATTCTCTAGTTACTGGTTTCATCGTCTAGTTACTGGTTTCATCCTATAGTTACTGGTTTCATTGTCTAGTTACTGGTTTTATTCTCTAGTTACTGGTTTCATCGTCTAGTTACTGGTTTTATTCTCTAGTTACTGGTTTTATCCTCTAGTTACTGGTTTCATCGTCTAATTACTGGTTTTATCCTCTAGTTACTGGTTTTATTCTCTAGTTACTGGTTTCATCCTCTAGTTACTGGTTTCATCGTCTAGTTACTGGTTTCATCGTCTAGTTACTGGTTTCATCCTCTAGTTACTGGTTTTATCCTCTAGTTACTGGTTTTATTCTCTAGTTACTGGTTTCATCCTCTAGTTACTGGTTTTATCCTCTAGTTACTGGTTTTATTCTCTAGTTACTGGTTTCATCCTCTAGTTACTGGTTTCATCGTCTAGATACTGGTTTCATCGTCTAGTTACTGGTTTTATTCTCTAGTTACTGGTTTCATCCTCTAGTTACTGGTTTTATTCTCTAGTTACTGGTTTCATCCTCTAGTTACTGGTTTTATTCTCTAGTTACTGGTTTTATCCTCTAGTTACTGGTTTCATCCTCTAGTTACTGGTTTTATTCTCTAGTTACTGGTTTTATTCTCTAGTTACTGGTTTTATCCTCTAGTTACAGGTTTTATTCTATAGTTACTGGTTTCATCCTCTAGTTACTGGTTTCATCGTCTAGATACTGGTTTCATCGTCTAGTTACTGGTTTCATCCTCTAGTTACTGGTTTTATTCTCTAGTTACTGGTTTCATCCTCTAGTTACTGGTTTTATTCTCTAGTTACTGGTTTTATCCTCTAGTTACTGGTTTTATTCTCTAGTTACTGGTTTCATCCTCTAGTTACTGGTTTTATTCTCTAGTTACTGGTTTTATCCTCTAGTTACTGGTTTTATTCTCTAGTTACTGGTTTTATCCTCTAGTTACTGGTTTCATCGTCTAGTTTACTGGTTTTATTCTCTAGTTACTGGTTTTATTCTCTAGTTACTGGTTTTGTCCTCTAGTTACTGGGTTTATCCTCTAGTTACTGGTTTCATCCTGGTTTCATCCTCTAGTTACTGGTTTCATCCTCTAGTTACTGGTTTTATTCTCTAGTTACTGGTTTCATCCTCTAGTTACTGGTTTTATTCTCTAGTTACTGGTTTTATTCTCTAGTTACTGGTTTCATCCTCTAGTTACTGGTTTTATTCTCTAGTTACTGGTTTTATTCTCTAGTTACTGGTTTTATCCTCTAGTTACTGGTTTTATTCTCTAGTTACTGGTTTCATCCTCTAGTTACTGGTTTCATCCTCTAGTTACTGGTTTCATCCTCTAGTTACTGGTTTTATCCTCTAGTTATTGGTTTCATCGTCTAGTTACTGGTTTTATTCTCTAGTTACTGGTTTTATTCTCTAGTTACTGGTTTCATCGTCTAGTTACTGGTTTTATTCTCTAGTTACTGGTTTTATTCTCTAGTTACTGGTTTTATCCTCTAGTTACTGGTTTTATTCTCTAGTTACTGGTTTTATCCTCTAGTTACTGGTTTCATCCTCTAGTTACTGGTTTTATTCTCTAGTTACTGGTTTTATCCTCTAGTTACTGGTTTTATTCTCTAGTTACTGGTTTTATCCTCTAGTTACTGGTTTCATCGTCTAGTTACTGGTTTTATTCTCTAGTTACTGGTTTTATCCTCTAGTTACTGGTTTCATCCTCTAGTTACTGGTTTTATCCTCTAGTTACTGGTTTTATTCTCTAGTTACTGGTTTCATCCTCTAGTTACTGGTTTCATCCTCTAGTTACTGGTTTCATGGTCTAGTTACTGGTTTTATTCTCTAGTTACTGGTTTCATCGTCTAGTTACTGGTTTTATTCTCTAGTTACTGGTTTTATCCTCTAGTTACTGGTTTTTTCTCTAGTTACTGGTTTTATCCTCTAGTTACTGGTTTTATTCTCTAGTTACTGGTTTTATTCTCTAGTTACTGGTTTTATCCTCTAGTTACTGGTTTTATTCTCTAGTTACTGGTTTCATCGTCTAGATACTGGTTTCATCGTCTAGTTACTGGTTTCATCCTCTAGTTACTGGTTTCATCCTCTAGTTACTGGTTTTGTCCTCTAGTTACTGGTTTCATCCTCTAGTTACTGGTTTCATCGTCTAGTTACTGGTTTTATCCTCTAGTTACTGGTTTCATCCTCTAGTTACTGGTTTTATCCTCTAGTTACTGGTTTTATTCTCTAGTTACTGGTTTCATCGTCTAGTTACTGGTTTTATCGTCTAGTTACTGGTTTCATCGTCTAGTTACTGGTTTTATCCTCTAGTTACTGGTTTTATTCTCTAGTTACTGGTTTCATCGTCTAGTTACTGGTTTCATCCTCTAGTTACTGGTTTTATCCTCTAGTTACTGGTTTTATTCTCTAGTTACTGGTTTTATCCTCTAGTTACTGGTTTCATCCTCTAGTTACTGGTTTCATCCTCTAGTTACTGGTTTCATCCTCTAGTTACTGGTTTCATCCTCTAGTTACTGGTTTTGTCCTCTAGTTACTGGTTTTATCCTCTAGTTACTGGTTTTATTCTCTAGTTACTGGTTTCATCGTCTAGTTACTGGTTTCATCCTCTAGTTTCTGGTTTTATTCTCTTTACTGGTTTCATTGTCTAGTTACTGGTTTTATCCTCTAGTTACTGGTTTTATTCTCTAGTTACTGGTTTTATCCTCTAGTTACTGGTTTCATCCTCTAGTTACTGGTTTCATCCTCTAGTTACTGGTTTTATTCTCTAGTTACTGGTTTTATTCTCTAGTTACTGGTTTCATCCTCTAGTTACTGGTTTCATCCTCTAGTTACTGGTTTCATCCTCTAGTTACTGGTTTTATTCTCTAGTTACTGGTTTCATCCTCTAGTTACTGGTTTTATCCTAGTTACTTGTTTTATTCTCTAGTTACTGGTTTCATCCTCTAGTTACTGGTTTTATCCTCTAGTTACTGGTTTTATTCTCTAGTTACTGGTTTTATCCTCTAGTTACTGGTTTCATCCTCTAGTTACTGGTTTCATCCTCTAGTTACTGGTTTTATCCTCTAGTTACTGGTTTTATTCTCTAGTTACTGGTTTCATCCTCTAGTTACTGGTTTCATCGTCTAGTTACTGGTTTTATCCTCTAGTTACTGGTTTTATTCTCTAGTTACTGGGTTTTCCTCTAGTTTCTGGTTTCATCCTCTAGTTACTGGTTTCATCCTCTAGTTACTGGTTTTGTCCTCTAGTTACTGGTTTTATTCTCTAGTTACCGGTTTCATCGTCTAGTTACTGGTTTTATTCTCTAGTTACTGGTTTCATCCTCTAGTTACTGGTTTTATTCTCTAGTTACTGGTTTCATCCTCTAGTTACTGGTTTTGTCCTCTAGTTACTGGTTTCATCCTCTAGTTACTGGTTTCATCGTCTAGTTACTGGTTTTATCCTGATGGACAATTAAAGAGCATCTGCAAAGAGAAGGCAGTAAAATGTGGAAACGTTTAGCTCGGATCAAAGAGCCGACCCTCCATTACGGATCTAACTGCTGCGTTTCTATACTTTTCCCACATATCCCCTCCCAGTCCTCCCAGTTCCCCCCAGCAGCATGAGCTCCTCGTTCTTGTTGCCTTTTTGGGAAACCAACCCAGTAAAACTGGCCGTTAAATAAGGCCAGAGATTCCTGAGCGCTGCTGTAATTAAATCTGTTTCTCATGACCTCAACCATCAGAGTGGAGCTCCGCTTGGACATCTAAACACCAGAAACAATCTGACCTCCGTCCGCAGGTCAGAGGTCACGCTGCTTTCATCATCTTTATTTGTCCCATAAACTGTCTGCATTAATCCTTACAGGCTCTATCTTTATGTTTCTGTGACAGTTGTGATATTTTTGAGTAAATTTGTTTAATTTTGAAACATTGTCCCAGTGCTGCCCTCTTTGGGTTGACCAGTGGTACTGCAGGTAGAAAACCGTCTCAGACGCGCCCCCTTGTGGCGAGTTAGCACTGGTATTATCGATGCTTCCTCAGTGGCTCCATGCAGCGGCAGCCTAACCTATTTTTCACTGTTGGTTTCAGCCTGGATCGCTCAGCAGAGCAGCAGCTGGGGCCAGAACCCGGGACCGCCGGGACCAACCGCACCGCCGGGTCCAACCGGACCGCCGGGTCCAACCGGACCGCCAGGCGAGAGGTAAACTCTAAACCCATCCCGGACCTCATCAGAGGTTGCTGGTTTCTGCCGGTTGCTGCGTATCAAACACGGCTCGTGTTTCTGTAGATGTTGCCGGACCGGTCCGTCGGGTCGGAACCTTTACTTTGTCTCAATGACCTGGAGATGCATGACAGGACGAGGCTGCAGCTGCTTAGTTTATTTAGCGTCCGGAGGAGAGAAAGGGAAACAAACGAGGCGAGTTGTTAAATCGCTTGCCATCATGCTTGTTCATTCCTGCTCCGATTGGCTGAAGGCGTTAAAACAAGTGATAAAACTTCCTGTCCAGACTGGAAACGTTTTGTTGTTTTAACTTGATAAAAAAGTTTTTCACACTGGCAAAGTCTGTGACTCAGTAAGGAGTAATCTAATGCGCTATTATTCCCAATACAGTAATCAGATTAAAGTTAATTATATTGCTTATGTTGCTTTCCTGTGTTGCTGCTGGTTTCTCACTGGAAACCATGAAGGATGAGAGAAATTCACTCATCTGGGATCAGAGATCACAATTTATTAAATAAAATTACACAAACATTATAAATATTAACTTTCATACAAATTTCTACCTGTATTTACATTTCTTATATGAATTAAAATAAATTAATATTAATCGTAAACCTTACTGGAAACGATTGTTCCTAAAATGAGGAACATTAGGGATCAGCGTCTTCAGTCAGAGGCTTCTATAACTTTGCTGTAATACAGACCTCTACAGGAGCGCCTTCCTACCTACAGCCATCATCATCTACAATAACTCTGAATAATTTTGAATTAATATGAATTACAACAGCATTTAATTTTTCTTTGGGATCAGCAAAGAGTTGCTGAACTCTAGCAGTAAATAAACTTATAACATCTGAATAGAGTCTTCATAATAATAATAACAATAAGAATAATAGTAGTCGTTTTCCAAACTAATTTAAAAATATTACATTAAATCTGAAGAAACGCTTATAGCTGTACTAGAGAAAACAGACTTCAGTGTAAAACCAGAGAAAGATTTAAACATTTAAACATGTAACTAATAAAGTGACTTATAATCCAACGGAGTGACTTTGAAGTATGTTATTCTTTAAGGGTTGGTCAGAAATCGGTTTGGTTTTTCTGGTTCCGGTTCTTGTTTTTGGTGTCGTGATTCCAGCAGGTCCAGATGTTACGTCTGAGCTGGGGGAGAGGTTCTGCTCTGGTCCGACCGGGTACCAGCCTGATTCACGCTTGTAAAGCAGGTGACGTGAGTTTGCGTTGAACGGCGCGTCGAGGCATGCGGTGTGTCAGCAGGTGGGACACCTGGCCATGAACCAGTCAGCGCCGCTTTCTGAGCCGTTTGGACAGAAAACGGGTTTCAGTTCTTCTTCTTTTCAGCGGAAGAGTCGCCTCTCAGACAAACTGACAGCCTGCTGCAGCAGCACGTCTGGTTCTGAATCAGAGGCGCTGGGCTCGGCCCGCTGGGCTCGGCCCGCTGGGCTCGGCCCGCTCGTCACGGACGTGAGCAACAGGAGCCGGAGAGGCAGTTTCTACTGAACACAGAGACGAAGCACAAGCAGCCCAGACATGATGAATGTCTCTATGTTTTGTTAAAAAGAGGCAAAATAAATTTACATTTCATACCAGCATGATAATTATACGCAGAAAACATCTAGAGCAATTAGGTGGGGATATTGAGAAATTGATTTTATGAGCAATCATAAAATCAATATAAGCAAAGCATTTTTGAAATTTATTTTTCACTTGACCATACAAACTTTAAACTAGTAATCCATGAATTCTGTTTTTTGGGGAGTTTTAGGGTCCATTCCAACCAGAACCTGACTTCAGTCCGCATTATTCCCGCTCCAGTCCGCTTTATTCTGACTCCAGTTCACTTTAATCCGACTCCAGTCCGCTTTAATCCGACTCCAGTCAACTTTAACCCGAATCGTCTAGAAAGTTCAGTTCAGTTTGTGAGGTGTGAACGCTGACCTCTGACCTCTGACCTCTGGTCCTCCAGATCTCGATCTGTGTTTGGGTGAAGCGAACTCTGGTTCAGTTTGAATGTGAACACCAAGCAGACCAGACTGCGCTCCAACAGCAGCTCCTCTTCTGAACAGAACCCGACTTTTTTCTGTGGTGGTTTGAAAGCTGGATAGTTTTCGGCATAAATGCCAGAATAAAGGACAAAGGCGTCTTTGTGCCCATTAAACTGGCCGTTTTTCTGCAGTTGTATAAATGGAGAGATTCCTCTGAGGCTGCAGTAAACACAAACTCAGCCCTTTTTCATGAATGCTGTGTAATCCTGAAACAGAGCCGGCCTGAAACGTGATCAGAGCAATCCTCCAGGAAACTTCCTGAAGGCTTTTCATGAATTTCACAGATAATCTGTGATTCACTGGTGACATGATCTGCAGTTTAAAGAGTCGCACAACGCCGCCATCCTGACATCAGTAATGATGTTTTGATAACTTTTATTATTATTATTATTAGTGCAGCGATCTTTACATACATTTTCATTTAGTTTATCGATTTAAATTAATTGTTTTTCATTTGCTAAAGTTCTGGCTGGAACCTTTGTATCATGTTTCTGGTACGACCTTAAATCTGATGCACATGCTATGCTACATCCGCTAACTGGGGTTAATTTCAGCTCCGATCTGATGGGACGCTGGAAAACACTCCTGTTGTGTTCATGTTGAGCTAAAAGCAGTTAGCCCATCAGTGAAGTTAAAATAGCATCTAAATGCTAACATGTAGCTGCTAATGCTAATGTTAGCCTCCGCAGGCCATGTGAATAATCAGGACTTCCTGAAACTCTTTGCTCCAATCTGCAGGCTGAAGGTGAAATTGATGAAATCTATAAATCTCTTTGTTTTCAGCTCATATGTTTGTTTAGGCAACGATTTGACTTCAAAACTTGACTTTGTCACCATCTTTCTATTAAGTTATAATGTGAAGCACTTGTTACTTTACATTATAACTTCTGCCTTGTTGCTCAAAAGTGCTTCACAGATAAAGTTGATTAAAATGCAAATAAATTCAATTAATCAATTCCAGATTCTGTAATTAAGTAAATTAACTGTTTTTGACTTATCTGATGTAACTGAAACAAATGATCTTTGGTTTTTCACTAAATGCCCCTGAAAACGACCCGACTCCTGTGAAAACGCTTTTTATCTGGATTACATTCTGTCTTTGAAATGTGATTTTGATCTGCTGAATCTTTCGTCCTCTTGGTGCAGAAGCTGCGGTCGACAGGAGACGGGAGGCTGCTCAGCGTTCCCGCGCCTCAGAGGAGAACCCGCTCTCTGGACCGCCGGACGGCGGACGGCGCCGTGGCGACCATGACGGTCAGCAGAGCTCATAAAAACTGTTTGTGTCTCTGAGGGAGAAATGTTAGCTCTGATTGTCGCGGCTGGTCTGCATGAATTCATCATTTTAACCTCCAGAAACTGAAACGTTAATCATCACGTCTTCATTTCCTCCTTCCTCTGCAGCCAAGGTCATTTCTCCTGACTTTAATCACAATTTATTAAAATGTCTTACATCCTTTAAATGTCTTAAAAACTAACTTTCCTCTTTTACTTATTTGCTCATTTGTTTTTTCCTGTTTATGGTTTTATTTTTTGTTGATGAATCAAGTCAAAGTTTATTTCTATACCACACCATAAATTATATACGTGCTAATTTCCCAACTTTGTTTTTTCCATTCAATTGAAGGAATGGAAAAAACAAAGAAACCACAGTTTCTGGTTGTTTTCAAACAGAAAACAACCAGGAGTTTTTGCTGTCGGTGTTTCGGTCTTTCTTCAGTTTTCCAGGATGGGTCACCTTTAAAATCAGTTTTTAATTTTCGCAGCCAGATCTGCTGAACTTTAAGAAAGGCTGGATGATGAAGCTGGATGAAGACGACGAGGTAAAAACCCAGACAGAAATGACAGAAATGTTGATTTGATGTGAAAGTTTCATCATGGAACTTCTTGCTCCTCTGTGCTGCCCCCTAGTGGAAGAAATATTGGTTTGTCCTGTCGACGGCCAGTCTGCGATACTACAGGGACTCATCCGCTGAGGAGGTGGGTTGATCAGAGCAGAAAGGTGCAGCAGTTCATGACATGTCGGGTTGAAACTCTGTTCTGGTTCCAGGCTTCAGACCTGGAAGGAGAAATCGACCTGTCGAAATGCTACAGCGTGTCTGAATATCAGGTCCAGAGAAACTACGGCTTCCAGATCCACGTAAGACTCTGAGGTTCTGCAGCTGGACCTGCTGCTGCTGCAGACAGAAACCGTTTCCTCTGGACGTTTCAGACCCAGAAGGCCGTCTACACGCTGTCCGCCATGACGGCAGGAATACGCAGGAACTGGATCCAAGCGCTGATGAAGAACGTCAATCCGGCCGACGCGCCCGATGTGGCCAGGTGAGCTCTGGAGCTTTAACCTGTGACCGTCTCTGATGGTCACAGGCCCAGTTTTATCAGAGAAACGACGGCAGGAGGAAACATAGAGTCCAAAGAGTCGGTTCTCCGTAACGCAGAGGAACCGACTGGAGCTTCTGTACAAATATTGAATATCAGCCACAGATTAAAATATGTGCAGAAATTTTAAAACAATCCTGGAAATCCATCCCTGATCTGCTGCTGCTCCTTTTAGCTCTGTTTAGTTTCTAAATAATATTTTCTCACTCTCTCTGTGTGGATCAGAGCAAAAATCTTTAAGTGACAAGATCAGTTTCACATGAGAAACAAAGAAAGAACTGGGTCAGATCAACGACCCGAAGGAATCTCTCTGGTTCTGGTGCTGCTCGTTTTGGGGAACCCGACCGGATCAGCGATCTGTCCGGATGCTGCGCGTCTCCTCTGATGTTTTAGAGGTTATTTGTTTCAGGTGTTCAGTTCGGTTCTCCTCTGTGTTCCCAGCTCACCTGGCCGCCGCCTCACCTGCAGCCCAGCTGAGGTCGGGCCGGACGTCACGCAGGACTCCGCCTCTGGCCACGCCCCCAGACCCACAGGCCCCGCCTCCAGCAGCGAGTCGGACCAGTCCGGAGTCGCCGCCGAATCCCGGCTGGACCGAGCTGCGTCCGTCCTGGAGCTGGGCGTCCTGGAGAGGCGGAGGCGGCGGGAGGAGAGGAGGCGGCGCTACGAGAGCCTGCTGGGCTTTTCTCTGGGACGCGGCGGACCGCAGGGCGGCGGACCGCAGGGCGGCGGACCGCAGGGCGGCGAGCGACCTCTGAGCCCCCTGTCCCAGCTGAAGATGGAGGAGCAGATCACAGAGTGCTGGAGGCGGGTGGAGAGGACGGTGCTGAGACCAGAGAGGACGGTGGCGCTGCCCAAAGAGTCCAGAGACCATCTGGAGACGGAAATGCTGCTGCAGGGATGCAGGACGCTGGTGAGGGATGCAATGTGGTGCTGCATTTACTGCTGCAGGTGGTGCTGCAGGCAGTGCATGTGCTGCATGCTGATATCTCATATGACTTGAAATAAAACAAAATTGACAAATAACTTAAAACATGCAGGAGCTTGTTTTAAGTCAATCATTTCTTAATATTGATCAAAAGATTTAAATCTACTGGCAAATTATTTCATTTATTTGTTCCATGTTATGAATGTGGAACTACCGTATTTTCCAGACTAAAGTCGCAGTGTTTTTCATAGTGCGACTTCTAGTCCAAAAAATACGGTAGTTTGTTTTCATTAGTATCAAGGAATTATTGAATTTAAAAAGGTTCCCATTTCTTGCTGATAAATCACTTTTAAGTCAGTTTCAACTCATTTCAGGAATTATTTACAGCAGAATATGTCAAGGACACTTGGTCAGTTTTCCTCTGTGGATTTGAAACACCAGTTTGGATCTGCAGATTTCACTGTGACTTTACTGCTGCTGTTTGAATCGTTTTTCCTTTCTGCTGCTGCTGGAGGTCGATGACCTGAAGGCCCAGCTGGCGGATTCGGAGCGTCGCAGACTCCAGCTGGAAGATCGCCTCCCATCCTGTCCGGAGCAGGTCTGTGAACGCAGCACCTCGCTAATGTTTAGCCAAAACCTCCTGCTTTCTGTCAGGTCTGTGAACGCAGCACCTCGCTAACGTTTAGCCAAAACCTCCTGCTTTCTGTCAGGTCTGTGAACGCAGCACCTCGCTAACGTTTAGCCAAAACCTCCTGCTTTTTGTCAGGTTGCAACCACAGAACTCATTTCATCTCACAGAGTGAAAATGTTATTTAATCCACGATTGAAGGTAAAATTTACGGTATGAAGCTACGTTATTCTAACTGCTAACGTCCAAGGAATCATTTAATGTGAATAAATGTGGAAAAGTTCAACTGAAATGAATAATTTATATCCAGATTGGATCAGAATTTTACTTTTTCTGAAGATCAACAAAATAAATGCAGCAATGCTGATGTGAAGTTTTTCCTTTCGCATGATTTTCTCCAGCTGGACCTTCTGGTTCCGTCCGACCCGGTTTTCACCCCTGCAGATGGGAGCTTGACTCCACTGAATGACTCTGTGCAGCTGTGCAGAGACCTGCTGCAGCAGCGCAGCGACTCCTCGTACGCTGCATGTCTGTCCGGCGTCTGGATGTGCCTCCCAGACGGAGATTCAGCAGAAACAGGCGGTTTGATTTTAGCTCCACCTGCAGCAGGCAGCCAGCAGGGGGCGCTGCAGGCCGACAGGACAGTTCCAGGATCCAGCTGCGGCTTCCACCGGCAGAACCAGCAGGAGCCGGACGGAACAGACCCGGACAGCCACGCTGCAGTGAAGAGTCTGTCCCAAGAGCTGGCTCTGCTCAGCAGCCAGAACCGAGCTTTGGACCAGCGCAACCAGGAGATGCTGAACCAGCTGACCGAGGCGGACCGGGAGATCGACCGGCTGAAGGCCGAGCTGGGCCGCCGGAACCAGGAGCTGCTGGCGGCCTCTCTGGAGGAGAAGCTGAGGCCGACGGAGGTTCTGCCCAAACACTCAACAGAACCAAATGGACCAGAACTGCAGCTGGAGCAGAGCTGCAGGAAACCAGAGCAGGAAAACATAGAGCTGAAGGAAGCAACAGCTGAAGATGTCACCGTGGAGAAACCGGACCAGAACCAGGCCGTTTCTGCCAAAGAAAACGTCCAGGAAGAGACAGCAGGAGCGGTGATGAGGCTGCAGGCGCTGGCGCAGCTGCTGCAGCTCATCGACGGTTTGGACCTCAGAGAGGAAGAAGAGGAAACATTCTGGAAATCCGTCCTGAACAAGATGAAGAGCGACCCGGCCCGGCTGCAGCAGCCAATAGGAGAGCAGCTGTGTGCGGGGGTGCTGCACCCTGAGGAAGAGGAGGAAGAGGATGAAGAGGAGAGCTTGGTGTGGGGAAGAGCTTCAGAGAACCACAGATTTACTGATGAGTTGAGGAAGCTGAGAGGCGTCACTCTGAGCAGAATATCGTGTCTGAAATGCCTCGCTGCCTCCGGCCGCAGCGCCGCATGCGACCGCCTGCAGTCCGCTTCCCACCTCGCATCGTCTACAGCAGCGGACGCATTCTGCTGCGTTCGGCTCAGCAGGCTGCGGTCCAGATACCAGAGGAGAGTCTGTTCCAGCTGCAGCGGCTGCATGGAGGAGAACCAGGAGCTAAAACCTGAACCGCAGGAGAACCAGGAGCTAAAACCTGAACCGCAGGAGAACCAGGAGCTAAAACCTGAACCGCAGGAGAACCAGGAGCTAAAACCTGAACCGCAGGAGAACCAGGAGCTAAAACCTGAACCGCAGGAGAACCAGGAGCTAAAAACTGAACCGCAGGAGAACCAGGAGCTAAAACCTGAACCGCAGGAGAACCAGGAGCTAAAACCTGAACCGCAGGAGAACCAGGAGCTAAAACCTGAACCGCAGGAGAACCAGGAGCTAAAAACTGAACCGCAGGAGAACCAGGAGCTAAAACCTGAACCGCAGGAGAACCAGGAGCTAAAAACTGAACCGCAGGAGAACCAGGAGCTAAAAACTGAACCGCAGGAGAACCAGGAGCTAAAAACTGAACCGCAGGAGAACCAGGAGCTAAAACCTGAACCGCAGGAGAACCAGGAGCTAAAAACTGAACCGCAGGAGAACCAGGAGCTAAAAACTGAACCGCAGGAGAACCAGGAGCTAAAAACTGAACCGCAGGAGAACCAGGAGCTAAAAACTGAACCGCAGGAGAACCAGGAGCTAAAACCTGAACCGCAGGAGAACCAGGAGCTAAAAACTGAACCGCAGGAGAACCAGGAGCTAAAAACTGAACCGCAGGAGAACCAGGAGCTAAAAACTGAACCGCAGGAGAACCAGGAGCTAAAAACTGAACCGCAGGAGAACCAGGAGCTAAAACCTGAACCGCAGGAGAACCAGGAGCTAAAACCTGAACCGCAGGAGAACCAGGAGCTAAAAACTGAACCGCAGGAGAACCAGGAGCTAAAAACTGAACCGCAGGAGAACCAGGAGCTAAAACCTGAACCGCAGGAGAACCAGGAGCTAAAAACTGAACCGCAGGAGAACCAGGAGCTAAAAACTGAACCGCAGGAGAACCAGGAGCTAAAACCTGAACCGCAGGAGAACCAGGAGCTAAAACCTGAACCGCAGGAGAACCAGGAGCTAAAAACTGAACCGCAGGAGAACCAGGAGCTAAAACCTGAACCGCAGGAGAACCAGGAGCTAAAAACTGAACCGCAGGAGAACCAGGAGCTAAAACCTGAACCGCAGGAGAACCAGGAGCTAAAAACTGAACCGCAGGAGAACCAGGAGCTAAAACCTGAACCGCAGGAGAACCAGGAGCTAAAAACTGAACCGCAGGAGAACCAGGAGCTAAAAACTGAACCGCAGGAGAACCAGGAGCTAAAAACTGAACCGCAGGAGAACCAGGAGCTAAAACCTGAACCGCAGGAGAACCAGGAGCTAAAAACTGAACCGCAGGAGAACCAGGAGCTAAAACCTGAACCGCAGGAGAACCAGGAGAAACAAGCCAAATCAGAGGAGAACCAGGAGCTGAACACCGGACCGGTGAATGCATTTGCCACAGAGGATGCCCAGGTGAGCACCAGCTGCCAAACTGATGGAGGTCAGAGGTCAACAGCAGCGGGGTCAGAGGAAATGCTGCACATGGAGGAGAATAAAACTCCTCTGACGAGGCTGCAGGAGACGCAGCAAAGCTCTGACCTTCGAGCCGAAGGGGAGCTGCAGGAGGAGCTGCAGGAGGAGCTGAGGCGAGTGCAGGAGCAGCACCGGCAGGAGGTCGCTCAGCTGAAGGTAGGGGGCGCCACTGCTGCATGTTTTACCTTCACTTCCTGTAAAATCTGTGACATCATCAGCTGATTGTGTTTCTGTCAGCTGATTTCTCTGAAACCATTTTGAACTGAATTGGTGTGTGTGTGTGTGTGTGTGTGTGTGTGTGTGTGTGTGTGTGTGTGTATGTGTGTGTGTGTGTGTGTGTATGTGTGTGTGTGTGTGTGTGTGTATGTGTGTGTGTGTGTGTGTGTGTGTATGTGTGTGTGTGTGTGTGTGTGTGTGTATGTGTGTGTGTGTGTGTGTGTGTGTGTGTGTGTGTGTATGTGTGTGTGTATGTGTGTGTGTGTGCATGCATGCATGCGTGTGTGTATGTGTGTGTGTGTGTGTGTGTGTGTGTGTATGTGTGTGTGTGTGTGTGCATGCATGCATGCGTGTGTGTATGTGTGTGTGTGTGTGTGTGTGTGTGTGTGTGTGTGTGTGTATGTGTGTGTGTATGTGTGTGTGTGTGTATGTGTGTGTGTGTGTGTGTGTGTGTGTGTGTGTGTATGTGTGTGTGTGTGTGTGTGTGTGTGTGTGTGTGTGTGTGTGTGTGTATGTGTGTGTGTGTGTGTGTGTGTGTGTGTGTGTGTGTGTGTGTATGTGTGTGTGTGTGTGTGTGTGTGTGTGTGTGTGTGTGTGTATGTGTGTGTGTGTGTGTGTGTGTGTGTATGTGTGTGTGTGTATGTGTGTGTGTGTGTGTGTGTGTGTGTGTGTGTATGTGTGTGTGTGTGTGTGTGTTTGTGTGTGTGTGTGTGTGTGTGTGTGTGTGTGTGTGTGTGTGTGTGTGTGTGTGTGTGTGTGTGTGTGTGTGCTGCAGGCCACCTGTGAGCGTGGCCTCATCACCATGGAGACCTGTCATCTGAGGGTGGTAGAGGATCTGCAGCGCCTGCACCAGCAGGAGGTGGAGCGCCTCCTGCTGGAGAGAGACAGACTGTTGGAGGAGGAGAGCGCTGCCACTGCAACCGGTGAGTGCTGTTTGTTATCCCTACTGACCACCAGAGGGCGACCTTCAGTGCTTGTGCTGTTCCGGTAGTAACACCCAGAGTCCTGCCCTAAAGTAACCAGGTTTACTGGTAACTTTAGTTCCTGTGGCCTGCAGTCTGACCAACAGAATCCCATCTAAACTGACCCGCCTCCACTTCCTGTTTGCTCAGCGATCGAAGCCATCGAGAACGCCCACCGCGCCGAGCTGCAGAGGGAGATCCAGAGGAGGAGCCAATCAGAGAACTGCAGCAGAAACTCGCAGCTGGAGCAGATCCACAGGTTGGTGAGCCGGTCCGGTCGGGTTCAGGCCGCATGCGCCTGCAGAAACGTTCTCACGGGAAACTTTCAACGCCAACCTTTCCTTCTAACCAAACACGGACGGAGGGATTTTCAGGAAAAAACACGATTATCAGAAAAACCCAGAGATTTTTATCCTTCAGCTAAAAATGACCTGGTATTATTTCATGTAATAATACCAGGAAAATTAAACTGCTGTTGTATTTCAGCAGATTTTAAACTGTTACTTCACAAATCAAACCTGTAAGCATAAAGCTGTTCAGGGTTTTAGGTGGGTTCAGTTTGTGATCAATTCCAATGTAACATTTGATTAAAAGCTGAAATTGGAGAAATATTATTGAAGGCAGATAAATAAAGGTTTATAAAGACAATAAAAAGACACATTTTGGTTCTCAGTGTCTGAAGTTAAATCAAACCAAACTTTCATGTACAGGTCTGTTAGAATCACCTAAAATTATTTCTATTTGCTCAAAGCCAGAAAATGTCAAGTCGTTTTTTTGGGGGAGATTTTTTGTAATTTTCTTGGACCAGTTTTACGTTGTGCTGCAGTCACAGTTCAGAACATCAAATTTTATTATATTTTATTTTAACTTGTGCAATAAAGAAGATAATATTAATAACAGCAGTAAATGATCATCTGATGCTGATTTAAAACCGTTTTCATTTGTGTTGTTTCATCTTCAAACTGCTGCTGGAAAGTTTCCTTCAGGTTTTTGAGTTTAGCTGCGGAGTGTGTGAACCTGAGTGTTAACGTGTGTGTGTGTGTGTCTCTGTGTGTGTGTGTCTGTGTCTCTGTGTGCGTGTGTGTGTGTGTGTCTCTGTGTGTGTGTGTGTGTGTGTCTCTGTGTGCGTGTGTGTGTCTCTGTGTGTGTCTCTGTGTGTGTCTGTGTCTCTGTGTGTGTGTGTGTGTGTGTCTCTGTGTGTGTGTGTGTGTGTGTCTCTGTGTGTGTGTGTGTGTCTGTGTCTCTGTGTGTGTGTGTGTCTGTGTCTCTGTGTGTGTGTGTGTCTGTGTGTGTGTGTGTGTGTGTGTGTCTCTGTGTGTGTGTGTGTGTGTGTCTCTGTGTGTGTGTGTGTCTCTGTGTCTGTGTGTGTCTGTGTCTCTGTGTGTGTGTGTGTGTGTCTCTGTCTGTGTGTGTCTGTGTCTCTGTGTGTGTGTGTCTGTGTCTCTGTGTGTGTGTGTGTGTGTGTCTGTGTCTGTGTGTGTGTGTGTGTGTCTGTGTCTCTGTGTGTGTGTGTGTGTGTTTCCAGGGAGGAGCTGGCCTCCTTCCAGCGGGAGCTGGACGTTTTGTCCCAGCAGTTCTCCCTGAAGTGTCTGGAGATGGGACAGCTGGTCCAGGCCCTGGAGGCCGAGAGGAAGGCCTTGGGTCAGTGTCAGCAGGAGAACCGGGCCCTGCGGAGCCGCAACCAGGTGACGACCCGCTGCTTCCTGACAGCGTCTTCATGACGCCCGCTGAGGCCTGGAGGGAAAATGTTTTGGTGAAACGTGTTCAGGTCAGAACGGAGAAGCTGCACCTCGGATTGGTGGAGAAATAATTTACTGATGAAATGATGTCAGGATCAGATTAAGAGATTATTTTAAAATGATGAGAATAAAGTCATACGATAATAGTTATATTACCTGAATGTTTGCAATAATACAAGAAAAAAGTCATAATATTACGAGAATAAAGTAAAAATGTAATAATAAATTATTAATAATTGACTAATGTTGAGCATCTTGTGAATTTCTACTTCAGTATCAGTTTTACTAATGAGGGAATATTTTATATTTTATCATCAAATTATCAGCAGCAGAACCTGGAGATGATTTCACAATCAACATAACGAGATCTTAGTAACTCCATCAAAGCTCTGAATGTATTTTACATTCAGCTTATTCTGGAGGTTACGCATCATGACTCTGGTTTCCAGGAGCTGAGCCGCCGCCTGGCGGCAGAAATCACCAGGCTGCGCTCTGAGGCCGAGGCGGAGCCGCTGCCGCTCGGCCAGACCAGGGACCGCTATGAGGTGGAGGTGAGCCGGGGTCAGCCGGGGTCAGAGGGTGAGCCGGGGTCAGGGGGTGAGCCGGGGTCAGGGGGTCAGCCGGGGTCAGGGGGTGAGCCGGGGTCAGGGGGTGAGCCGGGGTCAGGGGGTGAGCCGGGGTCAGGAGGTCAGCCGGGGTCAGGGGGTGAGCCGGGGTCAGGGGTCAGCCAGGGTCAGGGGGTGAGCCGGGGTCAGCCGGGGTCAGGGGGTCAGCCGGGGTCAGGGGGTGAGCCGGGGTCAGCCGGGGTCAGAGGGTGAGCCGGGGTCAGGGGGTGAGCCGGGGTCAGGGGGTCAGCCGGGGTCAGGGGGTGAGCCGGGGTCAGGGGGTGAGCCGGGGTCAGGGGGTGAGCCGGGGTCAGGAGGTCAGCCGGGGTCAGGGGGTGAGCCGGGGTCAGGGGGTCAGCCAGGGTCAGGGGGTGAGCCGGGGTCAGCCGGGGTCAGGGGGTCAGCCGGGGTCAGGGGGTGAGCCGGGGTCAGCCGGGGTCAGGGGGTGAGCCGGGGTCAGCCGGGGTCAGGGGGTGAGCCGGGGTCAGGGGGTGAGCCGGGGTCAGGGGGTGAGCCGGGGTCAGGGGGTGAGCCGGGGTCAGGGGGTGAGCCGGGGTCAGCCGGGGTCAGATCCTGTTGTTATAAATTTGTTCAATTGTCTCCTGAAAAAAATAAAAACTAAAATCATTATTTTAATTTAGCAAATGTACAAAATAACTTTTTAGTTCTGAATCAATAAATAAAATCCATTTTCCATAAAAAACAAACACAAAATTTACACCTTTATTTACTTGATTTTAGTTTTATTTTTGTTTTCTTGGCCTGTGAAACGAAGTTTGGACGCTCCTGGTTTAGAGGAAAGAATGTCCATGTCTCAGAATGGCCTAGTCAAAGTCCAGAACTAAATCCAGTTGAAATTTTGTGGTAAGATTTAATGAAGTGCTGTTCAGAGACGTTGCCCATCCAATAAGGTAAAACTATATTTTCCTTTCCCTGTAGGATCAGCTGGATCTTCTTCCTGTCCAGATCGCGCTGCGAGTTCAGGAGGCCGAGGTCCAGAGTCTGAAACAGGAAGTGGCGTCTCTGAGGGACGAGCTGCAGGCGGCGGCGAAGGTCGGCGTCCCGCACACTACAGCGTTCCGGTTAAAAAAACTACGATCAGAAACGGATTTCTGTTTCAACGCAGGACAAGAGAAACGCAGCAAAGAAGAACCAGGATGTTCACACGGAGCTGAGCTTCAGCAGAGCCAGAGCCGAGCGAGAGGCGGAGGAGCTGAGGGAGAACCTGAGGCTGGCGCACCGGGCGCTGGGGGAGGCCTCGCTCTGACCCCCAGGATGACCCCCGGACGACCCCCCCCACCCCAGGACGACCCCCCCCTAGCTGTATTAACTCTAGCTGTGTCATATTTTATATGAGCAATACATTTCTTTACAGTATTTTTAAAATTCAACTCATTTTCTTTAATTTATTTTTATATTTTAAAACATTGTTTTTACTGAATACACCTTGCTCAATAAACACTCGGTAAACTTTTGTTTGTTCTAATTTAAAAATGTATTTTTGAGGCTCCAAGTTGCTGATTTTACTGTCATTAAAATATTTATATTTTCCCGAAAGAAACCAAAAAACATCTGTTTTCATTTTTATTAAATATGTCTTATTATAAATATAAAAATATTTCCCAATTTCAGTCCAAAAGGAAAAATCCAAAACAACAAAATCAATGACAGAAAAAGAAAAATAAGTTCCAGGTCAGTTGATGGCTGAACTTTGGAAATTCAACAATCAAATGACTGAAACTAAAAAATACATATTACTTTCTAATTTATTTAGTCAAAAGAAAACAGACATAGAGATTATGTTGCAATTTATTTGCAGTAAAATATATATTTTTTTGTAAGCAAACGATGTTCAAATTCATTCTCACACTGCAGATACTGCATTTTATTTCTACTGTGGATTTTAGGGAGTTTAGGGAATGGATGGATGGATGGATGGATGGATGGATGGATGGATGGATGGATGGATGGATGGATGGATGGATGGATGGATGGATGGATGGATGGATGGATGGATGGATGGATGGATGGATGGATGGATGGATGGATGGATGGATGGATGGATGGATGGCAGATGGATGGATGGATGGATGATGATGGATGGATGACGGATAGATAGATGATGGATGGATATCCTTTTTATTCTGATTTTATAAAAGATTAGAATGATTTCATCATTTTTCACAACATATCCATTTATTATCAAGATGATTTTATTAAATTAAAAGGACAATATTTCCTATTTTCCTCTATTTCTGATCTTTTAAAACCACTGCGGTTGTCAAATGTAGCAAAAAATAAGCTCTTTGTTAAATTGAATGCTATTACTGAATAATTTTAAAATAAATATTAGCAAATAATTAATATAATGTATGAAATATAATCCGTTCATAATGGTCCCTCGAAGTTTTATTTTGAAGGAGCGCGCTTCTCTTCCGGTGTGTCGCACATAAAACCGCGCGTTGACTCTGCTGGAATATGGTGTCCATGATGACAACTTGAAAATCCCAACTGCAGTGCGAGGCGACAGTAGCTGCTGGAACCAGTTCGGTGAGGATGCGAGCGGGTCCGGCCCGGTTCGGGAGCCACCTGGCGGGGTCGCGTCCAGCGGCCGCCGGGCTCGCCTGACCTGGGCGGCCGCCGCTTTTGTTTACATCCAGTCCAGGTGAAGATGGGCCCGGAGAGGCGCGCTGGCTAGCCCCGCTGCCCGAGCTGCTTCCAGGGACGGTGTCATCGGGAACCCGCTGTGTTCGGACCGGGTCGGTCCGTCCGAACCGCGCCGCCTGAGGGGTGAGCGGACCGCGAACCGGGACTGGCCGTTTTAACGCGGCTGGAGCCCCAAACGGGCCTCCGTGGAGAAAACTGTTTAAACATCATTATGAACCGGAAAACATGGAGCTTTCATTTAAAATAGAAAATAAAGTCAATAAAACATTAATGGTACTTTAAGTGACGTAGATCTAATTGAAGCTAAATTGTAAATGGTTTTATTTACTAAATACTTCATTGTCTTCAAAGAATAACTATAAAACCTTCAATAAATACTACAACTCTGCATATTAATTCAAGTTATTTAATTAAAAAGTGAAATACAGACTTTAGATATGTGATTATATTTTACTATGACAAAAATCCAGAAAGGAAGTTATTCAGAAATTTAGACTAATATCCTAATTACACTGTTTAATACAACAATCTTTTGATTGAGGCATTCGGCACAAGAGCTGCAGAGGTCAAGGTTCAACCACATAGGACCCAAAATGGAGAAAGTCGAGCAGAAAGCTGCTGGGTGTAAGTGACCTGAAGAAGCATCATAACCAGGTGACGGGTGGCGCTGTCTGGTTGAGGGTAGACTGGTTAGGGTTAGAAGCCAGTCTCCAGTGGCTACTACTGGAGACTGGCTGATCCAACTCTCAATATTATCGGGTTGGTGTCGCAGAGAAACAGTGTGATGTTGAACACCATTTCCTGCCGAGCAGGTTCCTGTACGTCCACAATGAGTCCGCCTCACTTCACTGCGAGACGTTCGCCTGGGTATGTGGGGCCTTCATCCTTTCTCCAAGGCAGAGTCCAGCCACCCTACGGAGGATGAGCATTTCAGCCGCTTGTGTCCAGGGTTTTGTTCTTTCGGTCATGATCTGATTCTGACTTGGTATGAGTGTTTTGGCACATTGAACACACTCAAGGAGGACTTGCTCTAAAATCAATGTGGCAGCACAAGTTGTTGCAAGCAAGTGAAGTGCAGAACCTCTGGAAGAATTTCATTTGGAAAGAAGAGAGCGATGTAGAAATGTTTTTCAGTTTTGCCACTCTGTCCTCATCCTTCATGTCCATTTACGGTGACACTAAATGGATTATCCAGTAAAACCAACTGTTGACCCCTTTAATGTTGTCCTCTTGTTTTGCAGTGATGGACGTGTCCTCTCAGGACCCCCCTCTCATGGCCATGGACCTATCGAAGAGCTACACTCCACTGACCCGCAGCCGCACCGAAGCCGCAGACCTGGCTAAAAAGCCTGAGTGGTACCACCGACGGCCGGCGAACTGCAGCACAGACGGTACCTCTGCATACAGATCCTCGTCCTCCTACAGCCCGCTGTCCCAGCAGGGCGTCCCTGTCCGCTGCAGAGACATGGAGCAGGGGCCAGAGTCTCTGGGCAGCTACATAAGCTCGACTGTGGCTCCGGGTCTGGATCTTTTTCACAGCAGAACGCATGGCAACCTGTGGCACGGTGGCTACTACGGAACCGACCAAAGCGGGGATCCGGTTCCCGAAAGCAGCGGCGCAGAGGAGAGCGACAGTGGCTCTGACGTTATCTTCCTGGTTTCGTCCGCGAAGGAGCCTTTGTTGTGTGGCTCTTTCATCCAGGACAGCGTGAGGCACATCGTGGAGCCCGTTTCCCCTGCCATGTCCTCGTTGGATGAAAGAAGAGGTTGCTATCTCCTACCTCAGCCCATGAGCTCACCGAGTGCCGACAGCTCGTACTCGGAGGACTCGTCGGACAGCTCCGTAGACATTCCAGTGCACCATGCCAGGCCCGTAGTCCTCCTTTCGGACCTCAACACCGTTTACGGACACACTGGTGAATCGGTCGTGGATGCATCAAGTGACGACAGCGACGTCATTGAAGTTTCTGTCACGAACCGTAAGAAGGAAAGGCAATGCTACAAGAAAAGTCCGCCTAAAATAAAGAGAGAGGGAGGAAAAGTGTCATCTAGAGAAGTGCGGCGCAGTTCCAGAGTACGAAAATCTGAGTCAGAAATGCCTCGGTTGACCTGCGCCGTGTCGCGGCACAGCTTGAGAAGACGTGTCAAAAACGACGCAGTGGGTATTTATAACGAGAGCAGTGACTCTGAGGACTTGATCGAGTATGCGCTGAAGTTTTCCAGCTCCGAAGAATCTGTCTCGCAGCCAAACCTTCCACTGAAAGCGAGCAGACATTCCAAGGAATCCAACGGGAACGCCCAACCTGACAGGAAGTCTCCTCCAAAGGAAGCTCAGTTCACAAAAGTAAGAAATTACAAACAAAAAAAGACTCTCAGTCTTCCTAAAACTAAAAAGGTTGAAAAAGCAAAACAGAAGCCGATCTGCAGCGTCTCCCCATCGGAGCAACAGACGGTTTCTGACAGTCAGGCCACAGCAGGGAAAAAACGGGTTGCAAGGCGACAAAGGAAAAGGCGCCCACAGACCGGACCTTCTGCACTGTTTTCTCCCAGAGAACCTGAAATCCTGCTCAAATATGCAAAATCTAAGGATAAAAAGGACAGAAAACCTGCCAGCTTCTGCCCGTTTGTCCACATGGAGCAGCAGCTGTGCAGGGTGGTCAACTACCAGGACGAAGACGGGACGATTCCCAGCAGCAAAGGGAGGAAGACCGTCTCCAAATCTGTGTCTGGGTTTGTCCCCTGCACGTCCTGCTTCCAGCTGGGTCGGCCCAGCTCAGACGGCAGCGGTCCGGACCAGCTGCTCTGCTGCCTGTGTGGATGGACGGCCAACACCATGGGCCTCGGCGACCTCCACGGCCCCTACTGGCCCGCCGTCGCTTCTCAAGACGGTCAGACGTGCAGAACCGATCAGAACGACGGCCTGCAGAAACTCTCCAACGGCCATTTGCCGAACTCCTCTGAGGACGACCGCAGTCCCGATACGACTTTACTTGGAAGCGAGAAAGCCTCTCCCACTAAGGTGCCTCTTTATCTAAGCGAGTGCTGGATCCACGAGGACTGCGGTATCTGGTCCGCCGGCGTCTTTCTCGTCCGGGGAAAGCTGTACGGCCTGGAGGAGGCCGTCCAGATCGCACAGGAAACGGTGAGTGACTTCCTGTTTGGTTTAGCTTTAGCTGTGGATGGACTCCACACAGAGCAGCAGAACGCCGAGGATCCATAAAACCTGAACAAGCTGCAGGAACCCAGAGAGACGGTCAGTTTCATGCTTGATCTGATTGGTTTGTAGATCTGCTCCACCTGTCAGCAGCCTGGTGCCATAATGGGATGTTTCCAGAAGGGCTGCCTGAGGAATTATCACTACCCATGTGCCATTCAGTCAGGTAAACTGTGTTCACAGGTTTGATTTATTGATTATTGAATCAAACCTTTATTGATTGGTTGTGGTGAACAGCTCTGCTCAGCGTTCCTCCATCTTGATTCTCTCTCAGGCGCCGTCCTCAACGAAGAAAACTTCTCCATGAGATGTCCAGAGCACAAGGTGAGCACCGGACAAGGAGCTTCCTTCCTTCCTTCCTTCCTTCCTTCCTTCCTTTCTTTCTTTTTCTTTCTTTCTTTCTTTCTTTCTTTCTTTCTCTCTCTCTCTCTGTCTCTCTCTCTCTCTCTCTCTCTCTCTCTCCCCCTTTGGTCCATTTAAAGGTTCTGCTTCATACAGAGGAAATTCCTCTGTTATGTAAAAACTGCCAGTAAGTTACTCAGCAAACAGATTTTAGTGAATACAGTAAATGAACTGATGACTTTCATCTGGTTCTGCTTTGAAAAATGTCTTAAAGTTCATTTCTGACATTTTTCTTCATCTTGTTTTAAATCAAGCAGAATAAAACGTTCCCTCCTGCAGCCAGACGAGACAAGAGATGACAGTGAAGACGTTTGGCGGCCATGGAGGCTTGGAGGTTTGTCCTCTTTCTGTGTTTATCTGTTCCACTGATAACTTACAGAAACACACAAGCTTCTTTATTTAGTTTTCCTCAAAGTCAGGCTGCTGACGGTTCAGCTTCTTACAGTTCATGATGTTCATGCAACTGCAGTTCCTTATGTTAGCACAAGGGGGCAGCATCAGCTCAGAACTGAGACGATGTCCTGCTGAGGAAACAAAGACGTTCAGGTAATCTATAATCTATAATCTGTAATCCTAACTTCTCTGGTTCTGACACGCTGGTCTTCATGGAGACCAAATCAACTAGCTTCGTTCATCACAACAAATGACACCTGAAGAGTCCAGTTCAGGGTTCATGAAGTTATCTATTTAGTCACCTGTTACTTTCTGACCAATCCCATTCATTCGCTCTCTGCTGAAAACGTGACGCTAAACTGTAATATTAGCCTTTCTAGTTTATTCTTGGGAAAACATGTAAATATTCTGTAGGATTTTGCTTCTCCAGTATGAAATTCCTGTAAACTCCAATGACCATATATGGAATTTGACCACGTATTTGCACTTTGACCTCTCCTAACTGTTAAGATCTTATTCTTTGTGCTGCAAGTCAAACCTTTTTCATAAAACCGTGTTTTGGCAAAAAATGATTTTATTCTCCAACAGTCCAATAAGACATGAGAAGATCCTGAACCAGGTGAACTTTCTACTGGACCAAACTGTGTTTTCTGTGTTGGAAATGACGACCGGTTCTGTCTGAGACCTTCTAATGTTTCTGCTTCAGATTTTTAGTATCATTTCCTTATTGTATTTTTTTAAGTCCTCTGATCTATGAGTTTGTCTATGTTCTTTAAGAAGTAACGGCGTCGTTTGCTGTTTTACTGTCAATAAACCGTCCAACAGGTTTTCCATCCGTTACTGTAATGGCCTAGTTCATACACCAGATGTTGTTAATCATCCTGGCGCTCCTCTGACTCGCCTGTTATTGTCTCCTGTCCCAGAATGCTCCACTGATCTCCTCAGGGCACGGCGGCGGCCATGACGGTGGGCGTGGCAGTGGCTTCGCCTCAAAGTGTTCTGAGGAACCGGAGCGGCGGAGGAACCCGCTTCGCCTGTCATGACTGAATCAGGGTCCACTTTATTTATTCCTGGATATTTTGACTTCTTTTCGGTTGTTTTGTTCGGTTCTTCCTGTCCGGTTTTTTGTTCGGTTCTTCTGTCCGGTTCTTCTGTTCGGTTCTTTTGTTCGGTTCTTCTGTTCGGTTCTTCTGTTCGGTTCTTCTGTTCGGTTCTTTTGTCCGGTTCTTTTGTTCGGTTCTTTTGTTCGGTTCTTTTGTTCGGTTCTTTTGTTCGGTTCTTTTGTTCGGTTCTTCTGTTCGGTTCTTTTGTTCGGTTTTTTTGTTCGGTTCTTCTGTTCGGTTCTTCTGTTCGGTTCTTTTGTCCGGTTCTTTTGTTCGGTTCTTTTGTCCGGTTCATTTGTCCGGTTCTTTTGTTCGGTTCTTTTGTTCGGTTCTTCTGTTCGGTTCTTCTGTTCGGTTCTTTTGTCCGGTTCTTTTGTTCGGTTCTTTTGTTCGGTTCTTTTGTCCGGTTCTTTTGTCCGGTTCTTTTGTTCGGTTCTTTTGTCCGGTTCATTTGTCCGGTTCTTTTGTTCGGTTCTTCTGTTCGGTTCTTCTGTCCGGTTCTTCTGTCCGGTTCTTCTGTCCGGTTCTTCTGTTCGGTTCTTCTGTCCGGTTCTTCTGTTCGGTTCTTTTGTTCGGTTCTTTTGTCCGGTTCTTTTGTCCGGTTCTTTTGTTCGGTTCTTTTGTCCGGTTCATTTGTCCGGTTCTTCTGGTTCCTTTCTGCTCTCCGTTTCTCTCCGGGGTGAACCGGCTGCGTTTGGACATCCTCACTTCAACTAGCTGCTAAAACAAGTTTATTATTTGAACATAGGTATTATATCAGAGTTTTATTGATCTCTCGGATAACAGGCCACTTTTCTACAAGTTTTTGTACGACTTTTTTAATCCTTCTAGTGGTTTGTGGTGTTGGTTTTCCTCCTTGATGCATGCACAGCTCATATTTGCTACAATGCACTTTATTACAGTTTCCTATCAGTTATTTAAATCTGACATAAAGCTGCACTACGCTACAGTTGAACTGTAAAACTACATAGTTAATGTCTAAACCTGGACTATCACCTCCGGCCTTTCGGCTGCCGTTCTTCATGAGGATTTTTATTTGTATCTTGTTGGATGATCTGAACGGATCTCATCGTGTTTATGGGTTGGATCCCTGCTGGGACACGGAGGCTCGTTTTCTTTTGTTCTGATCAGTTCATGTGGTTTAAATTAAGACTGAAAGTCTTTCTTACTCTCTGCTTCCAGGTTTTCTTAAAGTTTCTCCTTGTGTGTTTATATCTCCTTGTGAGACTTCTGAAGTTTTCTGTCTTTTTCTTTAGGATAGAAATGCACCACAAACCTTTGTGCAAAAGCAAAACAAGTCAAATGTCGGCTTTCCATCAAACTTTCCACAATAATGAAGAAAAAAATACAATTTACTGTTGGACTATTGAAGTCATCTGGCAGTTTTGTCTTTTTGTGTTGGTGTCTTTTTTAAAGGGCCGTTTCCGTCTCAACCTGCACAACCAAAGAGTTGATAATAAACTCTGAGGCTCTTTATATGTATATATTTGAAATGTTAAATTGATATGTGTGACTCTGATTTGCTCATTGCGACCCAAAAGAAAACAAGTCCTTGGTGTCCCTCAGGGGCCTCCGTACCTACGGGGCTCCATTCAAACCAGAAGATGTGATTTTATTTATAAACAGAAAAAGTTCCTGATTTAAAGGTGAGCTTGTTCAGGTTGGTGCATTTTGATTGTCTTATGATTTAAACTCCCTGTCACCTCTTGACTGAACAGAATCATTTTAGTCACTGATGGTTTTTTCATAATAATTTAGATTAATTCTGCAGGGTTGGAAATGAACAGTTTGTCAGTTAAATTGGAAACGGCGGCAGGTTTCATGAGGCTCCACTGCCAGGGAGGAAGATACTGACTGTTGATCACTAATCTATGGAACCCCGGCTCAGATAAAACAGTCCATTTAAATCCAAACTGCTCCTTTATGCCTCTTAAAAAGTTCAAACTTGATGATAATCTACCTTCACATTCTGGCACACATGAAAAGCTTTTCCATGAATAATCCTGATTCTGAAACATTCAACTTCCAAGGTGTTAATTTTGATATTTAAGTTGATGATGGCAGTTTTTAGGCTTTCTGAAATATCTGAACTGCCTCCCTGGAAAGCAGCTGCTGTTGTTGCCAAGCAGCAGCAGCAGGCCGGTCATTATGGTCCTGTTGGTTTTGGACCTTTGGTTTCCCGCCTCGCTCTGCAAACGGCACAAAATACAGTGAAAGCAGCTGGAAGCTGAACGGAGCTGCTGTGATTTGACTGGACCGTCCTGTTGGACCCGGTTGATCCTCGGCTGGTTCAGATTAGACTGGTTTAAATAAAGGGATGTTTAACAGAACCGCTTTAGTTGGATTCATGTCTGCACTTTCCCTTAATAAAGATGAACATTATTTAATAAAAATAAATAAGACATTCAGTTTCTTTGTCATAAAATGTTCAGATGTATGAATGATGATTTTCACTTTCTGTAAAGTTTGTTTTATGTCTGTTTCTCTGGCTAGCACTAGCCTAGCATGTTTAACTGCTTTGTCTTTACCCAGAATGCCCTGCGCTGTAGTCCACTTCCTGCTTTTGGAGCGGTCTCTGGTCCGCTTGGCGTTCGGATCGAACCAGAGTTCAGCTCTGGACCAGAGTTGGCTGCTTCCTTTGGTCAGGTTAGCGTCGCGGTTCCGGGCTTGGTGGGTCCAAACCCGACATGAAGATTTTACAACTGGAAAATTTTACTTCAGAAATACATCAACAGGTCTAATTCTGGCTGTGATTGGTTGATACAAAACAAAATAAGACAGAAAAAACATAAATAATCATCCTATCAAACTAATTTAGTGATGAAAACACTAAACTGGAAAATATTTAATATATCCAAAATAAAAGCAGCACAAAAAATGTAAATAAAATCAGAACTGAAACTAAATAAATATCTATTTTTGGGTTTCTAACTGAAATTATTCTTAAAACATTAAATTATCATTTTAATTTCAGGTGAAACTGCCTGATGTTTGGACTTCAGTCGCCTGGTTTTAGGATTTGTTCTGGGATTTGGTCAGGAAGTGACTGTTTTTGTTGGTTTCTTGATGTTTTGGGGATTTTTCAGGATTTATTGACAATATTTCTAAAGTCTTAATACAGCAGAAAATGTTTATATTTTATGAAAAGTAATTATAAAACATTTAAATTCCAGTCTCTAGTCTGGGTTCAGGTTGTTCTGATCAGCTGATCTGTGTCATTGGTCCTGGTATCTGATCTTCATTTTAATCTCCAGTCATTCCCTTTGGGGTCAAAGGTCAGGACATCCCTGGTGGCCAAAAAAGCTTTTGGTGCCAAATCCTGCTGAAAAATAAAATCAGCATCTCCCAGATCTTAATGCGCCTATTCAGATCATAGTTTTTCCTTCCACTGAACTTTCTGTAAATCTGCTACACCAGGAGTTTTTGAGTGTAGTTTAGTTCGAGTCGATTTGAATAATAAATATTTTTCTCCATAACTTTTATTCATGTTTTGATTTGACTTTGAGAAAACTGAATAAAAACAGCAAAGACAGGAAGTTGTTTTTATTTTAGGTTTTATTTCCAGAAATGCCACAGAGACGAAACATCATGCAAGAAACACAGAAACGAAAAGAAGAAACGTTTTTCCACGAGGCAGGAAACTTTTAACGGAAATCCGTCACAGGCGCTTCACTTCCGGCTACAACAAACCTCACTTCCTGTCCAGGTTCTCACAAAAAGCACAAATAATTTCATATTTGATTTCGTAAACAGGAAAAGGAAAATCCAGACGGTTCTCTGCTCCTTTTGTTTTCAATGAGACTTTAATCACAGAGACTTTTTTTTCCTCAGACGAACTGGGAGGACTGGGAGGACTGGCGGTTGGTTAACATGAGACGTAAACGACGTCAAAACGTTTTACGACCAAAGTACAGATTTTTATTTCCTTCAGAGAAAATAAACTTAAGATCTTTTCTGCCACAAATCAATAAATATATTAATCTGATCAATAAAGCTTCACTTCAAAGAAACATGAGTCACAGTTTTCATCACGTCTTTTATGTTCTGGTGTAACAGAGTTTATGTTGTAGGATCCCACTTGCTTTATATATTATCAGTGCAATGGGAAATAGCGCCTCCTCTCTGTGTGGCTGGTTATATGTTGCTGGCCTCTGTAATCAGTGCCAGTCTATGGAAGCTGCACGAGAGGTGAGTTTCATTCCTCAGCAAACAGCACGGAAAAGTGTTAGAAACACATAAAGTATCATTCTTAATAACTTACATCAATAGTGTGCAACTACTATTTATGATTTGTGTGCCTGGCATCAATTTTGCACTTTTAGTTTTGTTAATATTTTGTAAAACACTTTCTGTGCTAAGTTAAAGTCAACATGACGCTCTGTTGTAGTGTGCTGAGGGAAGCTGAACCATTGCATTGATTCCAACCCGATCTGTTCTCATTCAGGTACATCATTTATTATTGTATTTTTTATTGAATGTTAAAATATTAATGTACTGTAATCAGTGCCAGTCTATGGAAGCTGCACGAGAGTGTGCTGAGGGAAGCTGAACCATTGCATTGATTCCAACCCGATCTGTTCTCATTCAGGAAATAAACTGCCTGTTCACCCAGAACTCCTGGTCTTCATTAAAACATCTACACAACGCAGAGTCGAGGGGTTACTTGGGTCGGCCTGGTACAGTGGTGTGAAGCAGAACCCGGTTACACTGGTTCTTGCTGGTTTCCGGACTGAGCTGACGTCACAGGGTTCTCGGCTCGGTTCGGCGCTGAAGCTTCAAAAGGCTGGCGGCCATTTTCTGGCGCCTCCTTCCTGCTCTTCTGTCATGACGTCATCACGTCGGGGAAATCTTCGGCGTCTGCGCGCGCGCCAACAGGCGGCTGCGGCGCTACACGCAGATCTCGATGGGCGTGGTCACCAGGATCCGCCCCCTGTCGGCGCTGGTTCTGTTGACCCGCTCGCCGTTGGCGGCGAAGCGGGCGATCGTGAAGCCGGACCCGGGCGACAGGCTGTGCTGCTGCAGCCTGTCCACCAGCGCGTCCTCCTCCGACGAAGACGCGCTGACGTCCACGGCGTCGGCAGTCGCCGCGCCGCCGTCCTCCGTGTCCAACATCCAGCAGTGGCTGAAGTAGCTGAAGACGTCTTTGACGGCGCAGCGGCGCTGCTGCTCGATGGACAGCAGGCGGAGAAACATCCGCAGAGCTTCGTCAGTGAAGCGGCGCCACTGCGACGGCGCGGCGCCGGAGCGGCGGCGCTGCCAGCGGGCGAACTCCTCGTAGAAGGCGTCGTTCTCCATGGCCTTCTCCCAGGGGAAGTTCCCCGTCAGCATGCAGAAGAGCAACACGCCGAACGCCCACACGTCCGTGCTAAAGTCCACGCCGAATCCGTCGTGACGCGCCGCGTCGCACAGCTCCGGCGCCGTGTACGGGATGGTGCCGCTGACGCGGTTCACCGGAGAGCCGGCGCGCCGCGTCATGCCGAAGTCCGACAGCTTGACCTTTCTGCACTCGGTGTCGAAGATGAGAACGTTCTCCGGTTTGATGTCCCGGTGGACCAGCTGCTTACAGTGCAGGTAGTCTAGGGCGATGGCCACCTGGTGGACGCAGCGCTTCGCCACGGCCTCAGGAAGTCCCACCTGGACCCAGAGCAGCAGGTCAACGGGACACGCCCACTGAGCGGCCATGTCGGGTTTAATGCAACAGCCATGCAACTTGGTTTAATACATTTTTACTGGACTGGTCCAACAAAACCCACAACATCATCACTGCTCCATCTCAAACCAAACAGTGAGAACAGGAAACTAATTGGCAGCGCTAAGCCCCGCCTCCTGGCTCTGATTGGTTGTTTTTGGTGCAGTAACTTTTTACCTGCTTCTCTATATCAGTGTTTTCCATAAATATCCTGCATTCCTGCTCTCTGTGAATCGAGTTTTAACGGGTGAGTTTTCTCTGACCTGCGGCGGGATGATGTCGAACAGATCGCCCGCCGGCGCGAACTCCTGGGCGAAGATGTAGCAGTCGTCAGTCTGGAAGGCGATGCCGTACATGTTGATGATGAAGGGGCAGGGCGACAGGTAGAGCGACACGCTGTACTCCCGCAGGAAGCTCTTCAGCTTGGTGCTCTTCTTCCTCAGGAACTTCAGTGCCATCTTGGTACCTGGAGAGGAACCGGACCATTAGGGAGCAGCTGCTGGTGGATCCGCCTCACCGCCAGAAACCAACCAGATTACAATCGAGATGAAGAATCCAGCAGTCTTCTGATTGGTCAGAAACAGGAACATTAAGAGTTCTAACATGCTGAACGTCGTAGCGCTGACTCAGCTGAGGCCAATTCTCTCGTTTCAGTGTCACAATCAACTAGTGTCTGCTGATGAAGAATTCTTTAATTGATCAGAAGTCATTTCTTTACAACCTGTTTTCTGTATTATATAATAATAATTATATAATAAAAGGGCCAATCAGGTCGTTCTGCAGATTCATCAGATCAGGAGCTTTTCTCCCCCGGCGGCAGCGCGCGCCCACCTCGGGTCTTGTGGATGACCAGGTCCACCTTCCCGTAGGTCCCCTGGCCCAGCTCCCGGAGCACCCGGTAGTACCGGCTGATGTCCAGCGTCTCCAGGTTCTGAGCCGCGATCAGCTGCAGCTCCTCCAGGGCGGCGGCGGGCGAGCGGCAGCCGGGCGGCGCCGGGTTCATTGTGCCGTCGGGTCGGGACGTCGGTCTGCAGACGGAGCAGGACGGTGAGCAAAGTCCAGTTTTTTGGACTTTTCAAAGATTTTTTTTACCAACAACAAAACTTCCTTCAATTGGAACAATTTAAACCAAAGAAAAAAAAAAACTTGTTTTGCTGCAAGCATGGAAATATGAATGCCATAAAACTTTAACAGCCACAACAAAATGTGATTCTTTAAACATTTTATTTTTTATTTAATGTGTGGAGAAGTTCTGATCCGTCTTTCTGCTGATCAACGAGACGCCAAGACAAAAAGATCATAAATAATCTATAAACACAGAAACAAATGTTACAGTTTTTATTTATTTCAATGTTTCCTCCATCCAGTTTTGGTTGTTTTAGTTGCCAAAGCAACCTAGGTTGTTAATTTGTTCTGGTAAAAACAGTTTGATGATTTGACTAAACCATTCTGCAAACTTAACATTCAGACCAAAAGTTCCTCCTGCAGCAGAAACAAGGAGCAACTTCAGAAAACAACCAGGAGCAACTTTAGGAAACAACCAGGAGCAACTTCAGGAAACAACCAGGAGCAACTTTAGGAAACAACCAGGAGCAACTTTAGGAAACAACCAGGAGCAACTTCAAGAAACAACCAGGAGCAACTTCAAGAAACAACCAGGAGCAACTTCAGGAAACAACCAGGAGCAACTTCAGGAAACAACCAGGAGCAACTTCAAGAAACAACCAGGAGCAACTTCAGGAAACAACCAGGAGCAACTTCAGGAAACAACCAGGAGCAACTTCAAGAAACAACCAGGAGCAACTTCAAGAAACAACCAGGAGCAACTTCAGGAGACAACCAGGAGCAACTTCAAGAAACAACCAGGAGCAACTTCAAGAAACAACCAGGAGCAACTTCAGGAAACAACCAGGAGCAACTTTAGGAAACAACCAGGAGCAACTTCAGGAAACAACCAGGAGCAACTTCAAGAAACAACCAGGAGCAACTTCAGGAAACAACCAGGAGCAACTTCAAGAAACAACCAGGAGCAACTTCAGGAAACAACCAGGAGCAACTTTAGGAAACAACCAGGAGCAACTTCAGGAAACAACCAGGAGCAACTTCAAGAAACAACCAGGAGCAACTTCAGGAGACAACCAGGAGCAACTTCAGGAAACAACCAGGAGCAACTTCAGGAAACAACCAGGAGCAACTTCAGGAAACAACCAGGAGCAACTTCAAGAAACAACCAGGAGCAACTTCAGGAGGCAACCAGGAGCAACTTCAGGAAACAACCAGGAGCAACTTCAAGAAACAACCAGGAGCAACTTCAGGAGACAACCAGGAGCAACTTCAGGAAACAACCAGGAGCAACTTCAGGAAACAACCAGGAGCAACTTTAGGAAACAACCAGGAGCAACTTTAGGAAACAACCAGGAGCAACTTCAGGAAACAACCAGGAGCAACTTCAAGAAACAACCAGGAGCAACTTCAGGAAACAACCAGGAGCAACTTCAGGAAACAACCAGGAGCAACTTCAAGAAACAACCAGGAGCAACTTCAGGAAACAACCAGGAGCAACTTTAGGAAACAACCAGGAGCAACTTCAGGAAACAACCAGGAGCAACTTCAGGAAACAACCAGGAGCAACTTCAGGAGACAACCAGGAGCAACTTCAAGAAACAACCAGGAGCAACTTCAGGAAACAACCAGGAGCAACTTTAGGAAACAACCAGGAGCAACTTCAGGAAACAACCAGGAGCAACTTCAAGAAACAACCAGGAGCAACTTTAGGAAACAACCAGGAGCAACTTCAGGAAACAACCAGGAGCAACTTCAGGAAACAACCAGGAGCAACTTCGAGAAACAACCAGGAGCAACTTCGAGAAACAACCAGGAGCAACTTTAGGAAACAACCAGGAGCAACTTCAAGAAACAACCAGGAGCAACTTCAGGAAACAACCAGGAGCAACTTCGAGAAACAACCAGGAGCAACTTCAGGAAACAACCAGGAGCAACTTTAGGAAACAACCAGGAGCAACTTCAGGAAACAACCAGGAGCAACTTCAAGAAACAACCAGGAGCAACTTCAAGAAACAACCAGGAGCAACTTCAGGAAACAACAAAGGAGCAACTTCAAGAAACAACCAGGAGCAACTTCAGGAAACAACCAGGAGCAACTTCAAGAAACAACCAGGAGCAACTTCAGGAAACAACCAGGAGCAACTTCAAGAAACAACCAGGAGCAACTTCAAGAAACAACCAGGAGCAACTTCAGGAAACAACCAGGAGCAACTTCAAGAAACAACCAGGAGCAACTTCAGGAAACAACCAGGAGCAACTTCAAGAAACAACCAGGAGCAACTTTAGGAAACAACCAGGAGCAACTTCAAGAAACAACCAGGAGCAACTTTAGGAAACAACCAGGAGCAACTTCAGGAGACAACCAGGAGCAACTTCAGGAAACAACCAGGAGCAACTTCAGGAAACAACCAGGAGCAACTTCATGAAACAACCAGGAGCAACTTCAAGAAACAACCAGGAGCAACTTCAGGAGACAACCAGGAGCAACTTCAGGAAACAACCAGGAGCAACTTCAAGAAACAACCAGGAGCAACTTCAAGAAACAACCAGGAGCAACTTTAGGAAACAACCAGGAGCAACTTCAGGAAACAACCAGGAGCAACTTTAGGAAACAACCAGGAGCAACTTCAGGAAACAACCAGGAGCAACTTCAGGAAACAACCAGGAGCAACTTCAGGAAACAACCAGGAGCAACTTCAAGAAACAACCAGGAGCAACTTCAGGAGACAACCAGGAGCAACTTCAGGAAACAACCAGGAGCAACTTCAAGAAACAACCAGGAGCAACTTCAAGAAACAACCAGGAGCAACTTCAGGAAACAACCAGGAGCAACTTCAGGAAACAACCAGGAGCAACTTTAGGAAACAACCAGGAGCAACTTTAGGAAACAACCAGGAGCAACTTCAGGAAACAACCAGGAGCAACTTCAAGAAACAACCAGGAGCAACTTCAGGAAACAACCAGGAGCAACTTTAGGAAACAACCAGGAGCAACTTCAGGAAACAACCAGGAGCAACTTCAGGAAACAACCAGGAGCAACTTCAGGAAACAACCAGGAGCAACTTCAAGAAACAACCAGGAGCAACTTTAGGAAACAACCAGGAGCAACTTCAGGAAACAACCAGGAGCAACTTCAAGAAACAACCAGGAGCAACTTCAGGAAACAACCAGGAGCAACTTCAAGAAACAACCAGGAGCAACTTCAGGAAACAACCAGGAGCAACTTTAGGAAACAACCAGGAGCAACTTCAGGAAACAACCAGGAGCAACTTCAAGAAACAACCAGGAGCAACTTCAGGAAACAACCAGGAGCAACTTCAAGAAACAACCAGGAGCAACTTCAGGAAACAACAAAGGAGCAACTTCAAGAAACAACCAGGAGCAACTTCAGGAAACAACCAGGAGCAACTTCAAGAAACAACCAGGAGCAACTTTAGGAAACAACCAGGAGCAACTTCAGGAAACAACCAGGAGCAACTTCAGGAAACAACCAGGAGCAACTTCAAGAAACAACCAGGAGCAACTTCAGGAAACAACCAGGAGCAACTTCAGGAAACAACCAGGAGCAACTTTAGGAAACAACCAGGAGCAACTTCAGGAAACAACCAGGAGCAACTTCAGGAAACAACCAGGAGCAACTTCAAGAAACAACCAGGAGCAACTTCAGGAAACAACCAGGAGCAACTTCAGGAAACAACCAGGAGCAACTTCAAGAAACAACCAGGAGCAACTTCAGGAAACAACCAGGAGCAACTTCAGGAAACAACCAGGAGCAACTTCAGGAAACAACCAGGAGCAACTTTAGGAAACAACCAGGAGCAACTTTAGGAAACAACCAGGAGCAACTTCAGGAAACAACCAGGAGCAACTTCAGGAGACAACCAGGAGCAACTTCAAGAAACAACCAGGAGCAACTTCAAGAAACAACCAGGAGCAACTTCAGGAGACAACCAGGAGCAACTTCAAGAAACAACCAGGAGCAACTTTAGGAAACAACCAGGAGCAACTTCAGGAGACAACCAGGAGCAACTTCAGGAAACAACCAGGAGCAACTTCAGGAGACAACCAGGAGCAACTTCAAGAAACAACCAGGAGCAACTTCAAGAAACAACCAGGAGCAACTTCAGGAGACAACCAGGAGCAACTTCAAGAAACAACCAGGAGCAACTTTAGGAAACAACCAGGAGCAACTTCAGGAAACAACCAGGAGCAACTTTAGGAAACAACCAGGAGCAACTTCAGGAAACAACCAGGAGCAACTTCAGGAAACAACCAGGAGCAACTTCAGGAAACAACCAGGAGCAACTTTAGGAAACAACCAGGAGCAACTTCAGGAAACAACCAGGAGCAACTTCAAGAAACAACCAGGAGCAACTTGAGGAGACAACCAGGAGCAACTTCAGGAAACAACCAGGAGCAACTTTAGGAAACAACCAGGAGCAACTTCAGGAAACAATCAGGAGCAACTTCAGGAAACAACCAGGAGCAACTTCAAGAAACAACCAGGAGCAACTTGAGGAGACAACCAGGAGCAACTTCAGGAAACAACCAGGAGCAACTTTAGGAAACAACCAGGAGCAACTTCAGGAAACAATCAGGAGCAACTTCAGGAAACAACCAGGAGCAACTTCAAGAAACAACCAGGAGCAACTTCAGGAGACAACCAGGAGCAACTTCAGGAAACAACCAGGAGCAACTTTAGGAAACAACCAGGAGCAACTTCAAGAAACAACCAGGAGCAACTTCAGGAAACAACCAGGAGCAACTTTAGGAAACAACCAGGAGCAACTTTAGAAAACAACCAGGAGCAACTTTAGGAAACAACCAGGAGCAACTTCAGGAAACAACCAGGAGCAACTTTAGGAAACAACCAGGAGCAACTTTAGAAAACAACCAGGAGCAACTTCAGGAGACAACCAGGAGCAACTTCAAGAAACAACCAGGAGCAACTTTAGGAAACAAC